TGGTTATATGTTGACAATTTGTGGCCAAATTGATGCATGTTTTGTTTAATCGACCTTCCTGAACGCTTGAAACTTATGCCTGACTTCCTATTGCCCATCTTTGGGGCTTACACCACAGCCAGAGGCATCTGGACTTGTAATTAGATTTTTTTTTTTTTTTCTTTCTCTGGTTTGGCTTAGCTCTGTTTGTGTGACATACATGCATTTATCTGTCAGTAATATTCTTTCTTAGGTCTCGTTTATGAGTGATTCAAAGACGGATCCAGAATTTCAAAATGACGTGGACTAAATTTACCTTACGTACAAACCTATAGAAAATTTGACAGTACGATTGAATTTCATTCATAACAAAAAAAATACACGGGGGACATAATGAGTCTTACCTTTCAAAATGCATCTAATGTAAAAAACAAATACAAGTAACACTCATATAAAGTATAATCTATTGAATAATATATAGAAGATGTAGACATATAGACTAACAAAATCCCCAATTGATAATTTGTAAGTCTCAATTGTAAATTTCTAATTGATACTTAAACCCTAAATCTCCAAAATTTCAACATCAACAAATTTAGAGAAGAAACTTAAAGAAGATGAATTTTGAAAGGTAAGACTCATTATGACATGGGTGATGGCTTTGGCGTGCACTACCGTGTCCTGTGTGACAAGGAGGGATGATTTTTTATTTTTTATTTCGAACAACAGGGCTTGGGTAACTAAGCAAAGAGAGAATGAATGTTTTTTGCATAAGAGCAGCTTCACTCATTTGCCCTTTGCCATGGCAATGGGGAGACTAGGGCAGCTACTATTCACGTGAATAGTAGCTGCCCTTGCAAAAGGTTGTGATGTTTCCACCCATTGCTATGACAACAACTATTCACATGAGATATGAGGAGAGAAATTCGTATAGAGTTTTTGTGTGGAAAGTGAAAAATATGACTAGGTATTTATTTTTTAAAAAAATATGAATTTTTTGGTTTTTTTTTATAGATTTTTTAAGATTTTTTTAAAATGTTTTTTGTTTCTGACGTCATTGCTGACGTCAGCAAACTGGGTTTGGAACTAAGGAAAATCTTGCCTGAGGGCCAGCCTGGGTTCGTGGGCCCCATCTCCTGCCAGGGCAAGACTGGCCTGCTGGAATGTGGTTTTTGGCGCAGCGCCCCCCAGCCTCGGGCTTGGGCTACTATGTGGAATCGCTCTAAGTGGTCTCGTGTGGGGTTAGTTTGTTTTTTTTTTAATTAGTCAGACGTGGTGTAGTGTAGGTTTGTTAATGAGATTTTATTTATGTGTGGGGTTAGTTTTAATTTTTTATTGTTATTAACTTATTGGTCAGACATGTGGGGTAAGTTTGTTAATGAGATTTTAATTGGCTGGGATGTGGATGTCAAGTGGGCTGGGCGGTATTATTTTAGTCTACAGAAAATAAATTCACCTAGGCTGTAGTTTAAGTTAGCTTGGGTGTAGGACCGTATCTGGAGTGATTTAGAATATGTCAGAATCACTTACGAGGAGAATAATGTGCTTCTCAATATAAGGTTCGTTTGTGGGTAATTCTGGATATGACAGAATCACTTTTGGAGAGAAGCATATCCCACGTACTTCTCCATAAATTCACTTAAAGTGATTATTTGGATAAATGATTCTCCATAAAGTGATTATTGGTCTCTCCAAAATCACTCCAAAATGAGCCCTTATTATACACATGACCCAAACTATAGTTTTATACGAGTAACTGTTTAGGGGTTGTTTGATAACCATTTTATTTTTCATTTTCTCTTTTTTCAAAAAATAAAAACTGAAAACATGTTTGGTGAGAGATTTCGTTTTCAGTTTTCAAAAAAGTGAAATCTTGTTTTCGAAATCACCCTTATAATTTAAAACAAATTGAAAGTATTTTCAGTTTCCAATTTTCGTTTTCATCTTTTTTGTGCTCCATGTTCCTTCATTAATTTTACATCACTAAAATTTGGTACTTGGGATGTCCCGACTTAGACCCCCCCGCTCTATTCTTGCTTTCAACCACGGACCAGTCCAAACCTCGTATGGTTTAGATCCAAAATCCACCCAAAAAAAAAAAAAAATTACCAATCAACTTTTTTTTTTTTCACTTTTCACTTTGTTTTTTTTTAAAAAAAACTGAAATTAGTTACCAAATAAGTTTTCAGTTTTTGAAAAATCAAAACTGAAAACTTAGGGGGCCTATTTGATAACCATTTCAGTTTTCATGTTTCAGTTTTTAGTTTTCAATTTTCAGTTTCAAAAAAAGTGAAAATTGAAAATTGAACAAAAGTTGTTTGTTAACTAATTTCATTTTTCAGTTTTATGTGGAACTTGGAGATGAAATGTTTTGGAGTTAAATTGTGAATTTGAGATCATAGAATGAAAGTGCATGTTACAAAGAGTCGGTAATAATTTTTTGGTGAATTTTTTGGAATTAGGATGATATTTTTTTGTGTGAATTTTGGATATGGAGTTCTTGAGGTTTGGATTGGGACCGTGGACAAAGACAAGAATCGAGAGGCTGGGTCCAAATCGGGAGGTCCCAAATACTAAGTTTGGTAACTGGAGTGCATTTCATGTGTGGTGTAAATTAATGAATAAGATAAGAGTGCACAAAAAATAAAAACGAAAACATAAAACACTTTCAAGTTGTTTTCAAAAAATAAGGGTGATTTTGAAAACTATATTTCACTTTTTTGATAATTGAAAACGAAATCTATTACCAAACATATTTTCAGTTTTAAAAAACAAGTGAAAATGAAAATGAAATGGTTATGAGACCCCTAAATGTTTATCAAATGGACCCTAAGCTTTTGCTTGAGGGTATAATTTGAATATGGACTTCTTGTATTCCCATTTATACTGCATACTAAACCTCTTGTTGTTGAACCCACAAAAAATATATTGAACCTTCCATCTTTCGGGACTTGTTTAGTAAACTTTGTTGGACCTATAGGAACATTCGAATTGGGGAATCAGAGGTCATGGGTCCCACGGGCCTAATTGACCTAGATGGTGGGCCTCACAAGTCCGATTGGGACCAAATGGTTAGGAGGTCCTTAGGACTTGGAGGTTTGTTTTTAAAATGGTATTATGCTATGAGAGTTTTATTAAATGTTTATGAATTATTATGCAATCGCTTTTACTTTCCAAGCATGTTATATTATGTTTAATTGTGTGGAGTTGGGAATGGCTTGGATAACTGGGTTTTTGCATGAATAAAGAATTAATTAAATGTCTGACTATATGTCTATATTTAAATGTATGCTTGGTGGCTTGAAATCGATGAATCACGAATACTATTTTTCTCAGTAGTATGTTGTACATATTTGAATGTAGTTTGAGAATAGTTTTGAAAGATTATGCATGGTCAAATTCAAGTAAAGGAATGTTGGGATTAATCTCATTTTTAAAAAGGGATTTTTGGTTATCTATTTAAGAACTAAGTTTTTGAAAGTTGAGAAAGGATTTGGAAACTGGATTTGTAAAAGTGGATTTGTGAAAAAAGAGGAATTTTATGATAAGTTTTGGAAAATGGTTTTCAAACCTATCATATGAGTAACCCCCCCACCCCCCTCCCCACTCCCCACTCCCCAGTTGCCTTTGGAATAGTCTAGTCATTTATGACAACGCCCCACGAGTCTTTGGGGCACCTGAACCGTGTGGTGCGAGGATTTGCATTCTCAGGTTGATTATATCTTCCTGAGTCTTGCGAGGGGAAATGACAGATATGCTTTCTTGGGTTGACCACGTGTCCCCGAGTTCTTCGAGAATATGCATTCTCGAGCTGACTACGTGTCCCCCGAGTTTTACTAAGTGTCCCCTGAGTTCTGTGAGGATATGCGTTCTTGAGCAGTGTCCCCTGAAATCTGCGAGCATGTAACATATATTTTACTTAGAATTGACGGATTATGATTGGGGGTATGCGTAGGTGGAGAGTATATGAGTTTTGAGATATTTTAAACTAAAATTGATGGTTTATCTTGATAGTTATTGGTGAAAGTTTTAATACATGTTTTCAGAATTATGAAACAAGGATCGAAAGTTTTCTAAGTTTTAAGGATTTTATACAATTCACAACTATTTTCTTAAGTGATGAGTTTATTTTTACATGTGAAAGATTGAAGCATATTTTATTCAAACTGTTGACATTGATATTAAGGTTTCACGTGGCCAATGTTATTTTAATAATTTTCTAGTTTTTTTACTTATCTGTAATGAGCTACTATATATATGTATTTGTAGATGCACATATGTGATGGTTGAGAGATTGTTCTGAAATCAATATCTTTTGCTTAAGTTTCAGCGAATTAATTAGAGTTTGAAGCTTTTGGTTTTAAGAAAGTGTGAAAGAATATTTCATTCATGTGCTTACATATGGGTTGAACTTTGTTTTCTTGTATAAAGAACTACGTGTGACTTGATCCCTCAGTAAGGATGCATAGGCAACCTAGGCGTTACTAGGTGCAGTCGCAATGTTTATGATTGGTTGGTTATGTTTAGTTTTGTAAAGTTAATTTTGCTGAACGTTTGGGAAAGTTTTTGAGCTTGCTGTGCATGTAAATTTCTGGGTTTGAGCCTTTTTTAGGGGAGACTGTCGGTTTTCCTATAGAAGTCAAACCCTAAAACAGTTTATAGATTAGGGCAAGATAGGGTTTTGGGTCATTTGTGCCTGACACCTACCATGTGTTGGGCACGCACGGGGTTAAATACTGATTCCAAAGTGGAATTTGGGTTGAGTCCTGTCATTAAATATCCATTTCATTGGTTTTTTTTTTTGGGCATATTGAATTAATTGAATTAAGAGTTTGTTCAGGCATAATTATTAAAGTAGCAAATAAACCTTTTTAAATTGCCACATAGGTCAACAAACTTTTATTTAAAGAGTTTAGTTTGCTACTACCATTGGACCTGCTCAGAAGAAGAATATTTGGATTTGAATAAAAGAGAGTTTGTATGGTGAAAGTTAGTGAGAGAGTTTAGGGAGAGAAATACATGGTGTATGTGTGTTATAAATGGTTATTATGTTAGGGTAAATTACTCAAATGGTCCTCAAACTTGTACCCAATTTACATTTTGGTTCCTCAATTAAATTATTAGTCCAAATGGTACATAAACTATATTTAAATCAACCATTTGATCCAACCGTTAGGTTCTGTCAATATTTCCGTTAAATATGAGGGCAAATTGGTCATTTCATCCACCAACTCTCTCTCTCTTCTTCTTTTGGGTTTCTTCTTCTTTTGCTTCTGGGTTTCTTCTTCTTCTTCCTGGTTTCTTCTTCTTTTGCTTCTTTTTTTCCCACAATCCAGGTCCTTAGTTGACAAAGCACACTAAAAGGTGCATGAAATTCATAGAAAAATCCGCCAAATGAAATTAATAGTTCAGAAAGACGGGAAAGGGGGACATTCAGCTATAACAAAAAGACAATCTACTAGTATTTACTGGGCATGACGAGCCCTGCCTTTTGTTGACCAGACGAAAGAGTTGTGGATCGAGTCGGTTTGAGACAGATCGAACAAAATCAAATGGATTTGGATCGAAGTTGATAGCGGAGGACACGTGCAAACGAAGCAGCGGATTTGAGATGAGTATGAGGAGATTAAATCCTATCCCTTCAAAGAGTTCTTGTTCCACGAGCTCTAGTGTAACCCATATGAATGGCACGATGCACTCAAAGGCCCTGCTGGAACCGACCTCGAGGGTGGGATTTATCATGTGCGGCTCCTGTTTCCTCAGGAATATCCATGGGAGGAACCTTCATTCATCTTTTTGAGGAAAAATGGTTCCTTCAATATCAAAACCAAGGTAACATTAAACTAGGACCCATCAAGGAGGATGAGACAGACTTTTCTTGATCTTATTGATTTAATGCACGAATGCCCATATTTTGAATCGAATTCAGAGACCAGGTTTGATGAGCCCGGGTTGGAAGTACCCAGGTTCGAAGGGTTGAACAGGATGAGTTCAAGCCTCGAGGACGACGCCCTAACCCATGAGCAGAGTCGTCATTGCAAAGCTTCAGATCAAGTCGGAGCCGAGAACTTGGTGATGGTGACGACGATGAGCTGATGACTGGTGATGGCGGTGGTTGTTGTGGAGGTTGTTGAGTATCATCATCATTAGAATCATCGATGATTCATTTTTTGGTTAAGATTTTCTGTGCCATCTTTTTCTTCTTCTTCTTCCGATTCTTCATTTTTTTTCATCTAATTTTGTATTTATTTTAATCTTATTTTATTTGTTAATTATGAAAAGTCATATTTACCCTAAAATTTGGTTAAATCTAATAAAAAATTAGACGGTTGGATCAAATGGTCGATTTAAATATAATTTATGTACCATTTGGACTAATAATTTAATTGAGAGACCAAAATGTAAATCGGGTAAAAGTTTGAGGACCATTTGAGTAATTTACCCTATTATGTTATTAATTTCAAATGCAAATAAAGAAACTTTTATTTTAATAAAGAAACTTTTGTTTTGGTAAAGAATAAATAAAAATGGATATTGTTAGGGGTAATATGGGCATTGAGAAAAGTCAAACTATGATCATTAATATGATAATTAATGAAAATTTTGATAAAAACCCTAAAAATGGGCATACATTGATCCTAAATAACCCAAGGATGCTTGTAGTTTTGGGTTATTATCTAATTTTTTATTATATTATTTAGAAAGGGTTATTTACTCAAATGGTCCTCAAACTTATACCTAAGTTGCATTTTGGTTCTTTAACTAAATTATTTGTTCAAATAGTCCACAAACTCTTTATTAATCGTCGCATTGGTCATACCGTTAGATTTTGTCAATGTTGCCATCAAATATAGGGGTAAAATAGTTCAGTTAAATAAAATACTAAATAAATTAAAAACAAAAAATCAAAAGTCTGGGGTAGAGTGGATTCGCCTGGATGGGGTGCTGGGTTCAAGTTTGGGATCTATTGAGGTGGATGTTGAGTATGGGGGTTGGGATTGGAGTGTCAAAAGTCTTATTTACCCCCACAAATGTAGCATGTATTGCTCAAATGACTAAATTTAACATAAAATGTAACGGTAGGACCAATGCGACAATTAATAAAGAGTTGGTGGACCATTTGAACAAATAATTTAGTTGAGAGACCAAAATGCAACTCGAGTATAAATTTGAGGACCATTTAAGTAAATAACCCTATTTAAAAATAATCTTATCTATTTCTAGAGGATTCTTTTGAGGATGACAAAACAATAATTTCAACGAAAGAGTGAAGTTCATTTAACAATGGTGAGACTACAGGAAAGCATGTGGAGAAGAATGGCCATATTGTTGAGGAAGTGGTTCTTCATGACTTATGGATTTATCCTTTTTTTTTTGTTGTTGCCAAAGTTAGGAAGGAAGATGAGGTATGAGGACTATGCAAGACGCCATTGGCCCTGTTAATGCATTTATCTAAGATGATATTATCCCAATAATAACCTCAAAGTTCTCACTAGTCATCTAGACGCATATAAATATGAAGTTAATGAGGTTAATGAGAAAGAAAAACATACTCAAAATTCTCTTATTTCTCGTTTTTTATTTTAAACATATTTTATATTATTGGATAACACAGTAACAAAGAGAATCGAACATGCCAAAAAAGGAAACAAGTGTAGATGAAGTTCCAACCTCTATCATTGAATTCGATTATTTTCATCAATTCAATTGGATTTGGCTGGTTCTAACGGATGCACATCTATTCCACTAACTCTTACCATTTTCCCACTCCGCCCGATGTATCTGGACAATTTTTCTTACTTTTAACCGCACTCACATACAAAGTAGAGGCGCCGCATACGATGAAGGAGAGGAAAGTTATAATCTGTCAAGTAAATATTTTAGTTTTGTGCATCACATGTATCGGAGAAGCTTGTAAATTATTAATAAAGGTTTTCATTCTAGGCCTCTGAGTACTGCAGAAAGGGAGGTAATAAACAGGGGATACATCTTCCATATCTCAAAAACTTCTAGTATACAAGGATAAATGTACAATCATCTTCCTTTCATCGAAGTAAAATTCGTCTATATGTATATATATGCCTTGTATGGATGACACCGACGGCATACCAGGTTACTGAACTATGAGGGGGCTGCCTTCTCTAGCAAGCACAAAAAGACCACCATCACCCCTCGAGATCCGGAGATCCTCATCAAGATATGTAATAAGAAGCCAAGATTTCGTCCGCTCTCCTGGAATGGAAACCTTAAATGGTGGCTGACCAGAAATGGCTCTTGAGATACTTGCAACAGCTTCCTGCAAAGGATTGAGAGTTCGCTGGACAGGTGATAAATTGATTTTCTGCCCAAAGATATCCACTTCTTGCGGGAGATCAACACTTGACTTTATCTTTGGAGGCAAAACGCTGCCTTCCTTGAATTCAACCTGGATATTTTCAAACCTAGTAAGGTTCTGGTGCTCATCTACCATGTAATAACTTCTAACTTTTTTTTATTAAAAAAATATATATTTGTGTACTAATTAAAATTATTGATTAACTCATCACTTCACTACCACGAAACACTGTCCTGTTTTAGAAGAATATTATTCACCCAGATATTATCAGTGCAAGTTATACCTGAATTCTTGAAGGGCTTCTAACTTCAAAGCTAGCGGATGCACTGAAAGAGAAAGTGGCAAAGGGGCCAGACAACGTGGTTGAGTTCACTATGGTTAAGCTGCTGGTGTCAATCGATTGGCCTATTTTACTCACTTTCAACAAAGGTGTACTACCTGCAGCTAGAAGTGGCAACAGCTCAGAGGATGCAGTGTACCTGATTTATGGAGATCAAACCAAATAAGTAAAATAAATGAAATCAGGAGCAGTTGAAAAGGATAAAAGAGAAAGAGAAAACCATGAACCATTTTTATCTTTCGTAAGGACAATCGTCAGATTGTTCAAAGCATCCAGGTCAAAAGCAACCAGAGAAATAGATGTGTATATCATTCGTAATGTATAATATATTGTGCGAAATAAATTATGGATACAGAACTTGGTTTTCAGTTTCCCAGTGGCTCTAAAAAATTTCTGCCATACTACCAATACTTATACAATATTGGGGAATATGAGCTAAAAGAAGAGCATAACTCCCACTAGCTTTATCACTGATCCTTGGTTCAAGTTCAGATACATATAAGGCTGTTACAATCATATAAAAGGAGCAAAAATAGAAGACGAAAAAACATATTTATGAAACTTGAAGTTGCAAGTTCAATTAATATTTTGAAAACAGATGAATCCCATGCATGGCTACACATACCCTAACATGATACAGTAGTAATCAATTATCAAATTGACACAAAGATCTATATATATATAGATAATTACATGATAAATGTTAAACTTGAATTTAATTTGCAAACAGGAAGATAAGAAACCAGGAAATAAATATAGAGAGGGCGTGGCAATACATATTTTAGGAGTAACTTTACTGTGCAACAACTTTGACATCATTGAAAAAGTTTTAACTAGAAAAAGAAAATGATGAAAAATGGAAATGGAAAGGTTATTCAAGCACAAACTATCACCTAAACCCACAGCCTCATAGGAGCTATGAAAATACCTTAATAAAGCTCAGATGATTCCTCCCTCAATACCAATAAAAATAATGGGGTGTCTTGAAGCATGACCATTACACCATTAATTAGAAAAAGGAAAAACAAAAATCTAGTTTTTCAAATTTTCTAACTCAAGGAAAAATTAAATGTGTTTATCAATGTTGCAAAGGGATGCAAAGACCAAGAACTTTCATGCTGACAGAACTCAACATGTTGGAGACACCCTAAAAGATGTCCACCTTCATAATTATTTTCAATTCCAACCAAAAACCAATTCCCATAGACCTATGAAAAGTATGTAGGAAACAAAAAATATGGTCAATTACTGCATCAAAATCAAATCTGTAGATTAATCTAAGATTCTCAATACTATGTTCAAAGTCTACAAAACGTAATATAAAAACTTATGCACGATATTATCAGCCTAACAACCAAATAGGATGTAAATGATCATCATTGTAATGTGATCAAATTCGGACATGATTGACGCAATATTCAAATAAGATAATTCAACCTGGATTTAACAGCTATTGTTAGCTCTGTTGATGCTCTTCTTTACTAAATTTTGTTTTCCTAACTTTTTCTTAAATGACTTCAAATTTCTATAAAAACGCTCTGGAGAAGTTCAATGACAGTTGGAAACAAATGCACATTTCAGCTTATTTGTAAAGACTTATGCTTTTGCTTTCAACAATGTCATTTAAAATCCATATATATATATATATACACACACACACACACACTCTATTTTGAGTTTTATGCTATTGCATTCCTAATTTAACTATTTCTAATCAAATTTCAGAGACAAAATTGAACTTACAGCAAAACCCAGTTGCCATCAAGAAGACCCGGATTCGCCGTCGGAGCCGGGTTTGGATTGACCGCTTCCAACTGGTTAACCAACTCTAAGACCTCCGCCCTGACCTCAGACCCGGCCCGAAACCCGAATTCAGTCCCATAAACAGTGTCTGCCAAAGCCCTCTTGAGCTCACTAAACTTACCATCCACCTTCTCCTCAATCTCAGCCTCAGCTTTGGCCGGACTCCCATTCCCAATTTCAACGACATCATCTCCTCCGCCTCCCCACTCATCCTCGTTCTGCGGAGGGTCCGATTCGGAGATTTTGGATGCGGGTTCGGCCTCCGGGGCGGCCTCCTCGCCCCACTCATCAGTGATCTTCGTCGGACGGTCGCCGTCTGTGGGGCTATCGTCGGAGAGAGAGGAGCGTAGATGGAGTGAGGGGAGCTTAGGGTTTGGGTTTGGTGAGGGGAAAGAGAGGAGAGATAGAGATTGGGATTTTGGGGTTGGAAATGAGAGTTGGTTGGAGAAGCTTTTGGAGAAGAGAGAAGAGTGTGAGGTGAAGATGAGAGCCATTTCTTTGGGTTCGAATCGAATTGTTTTGTGTCTACGTGAGTGAGATGGGTTTTCTTATTGTTGATATTTTATGGTAAACGTCGTCGCTAATTGGGAGGGAGGGATTTTGGACATATTCCAATTAGAGTCGGCAGGGTCCGGTTTCATTACAAAATTGAAAATTGAACTGATTAGTCTACTCGTTTTGGGCTTGAACAGATTTGAGATTTTTTGTTAGGCTGATGAACTTCATGCTTACAACTCCTGTACACGAATTCCTTAACGTACTCAAAGAGAAACATAATTGAAACTCGGACTTAGTATAAGATTCAAAAATAAAAAATGAGTTATGTATCAACATATGTGCTGACATCATATAATTGGTCAGTTTCGGTTCTTAAATGGCAAAACCGACTAAACTAATTCAAATCAAATCAAAATTTTTTATTTTTTTTCATTTTCGGTTTGGTTCAATTCGATTCACGGATTACGTGTTCAAATGTTCACCCCAAATTCCAACAAACTAAATACTACATTACCAATAGCTTGTTTATGAGTATAAGAGATTTCTCTCTAGATTCTGTCCTCCCCTCCCTCACCCCTCATTGATTTGAGAGTTAGTGATGTTAAATTTTAGGCCTAGTTATTGTTCCTCCGTTGTTTCCTCTTTCTTCCTTCCCTCTCACTCTTTGATAAACGCTTAAACTGTAATCTTCCTTTTTGAATGACTTTTTCGACCTGAATTGTGCCTGCCCTTAGGGCTACAGTTTGATGGCTAGTTAAAGCACAACTTGACATTGTTTTGGCCAACTATTTTTAAATAAATAAAAAAAGCTGCACAGTGCCTGCTGTTGCACACAAGCCTTTCTCGAGCACCTTGTGTGCATCTTAGGGTCACCCATTGCTACCCATAGGGTCGCTTGAGGACCTCATTTGTCCCGGCAGCCATAGGGTCGCACAACCCCATTGTCCAGCTGTGAGTCCGCCCCCAACTGTAAATGTTGAAAATTGCAAGCTTACCTTTATTTAACAGTGCTGCCTTTTCTACTCCCCTTTTGTCTTTTTAAGTGGACAAAAATGGAGCGGTAAAATCAACTCTCTTATCTAAAGACTTTATAGAAGGCTATATGATTTGATTTGTAAATGGGTCTTTGTAATTTTTTAAGGGGTAATACAAAAATAGAGATGAATCCCTAATTCTTCTCTATACTGATAGTAGAGATTCCTTATTGTACATAAACATGCCTCTATGAGCTTATCAAATATACTGATAATCACCTTCAAGCTATGTCTTTCGATATGACTGTGTAGTGTTCTCAAAGATAAATACCTGGTCCACAAGACAACTTTGATGTCTAAGGTATAAGGAATAATTTGCATTATCGCAACTTAGAATTTCTTTTTTGACATTGTGAGTAAAACCCCCATACAAGAATTCTTAGTCGATCGTGTTCAATGAACTCTATCTCTATGAATCACATACACACTTGTGTCAGCGTCTCTACATGAATCATTTCAAACTAGTCATCCTCCCAATTAGCAGACACATCGTGTACCTTTTTGCGGATCACCATGGTCCATTTGGTGATCCTACAACTAGGAACATTTAGGTTAAGATATTTCGTAATGGAAGGTCTCATGAATCTAACGTCTTTAGATCGCTTTCCATTTATATTGTAATCCATGGACTTGTCACTTTGTTGGTTATGCATAAGTTTTGGCTTCATTAACTTGATTAGATCAAGTGTTATCTCCTTAGAAGTTTGATTTTCAGATTGGCTTTTGAGGCATATTTCTAACAATTGCCTAATAGTATCATTCGATGACCAATATCCCACTTCCTATGCACTTTTATTTTTGTTTCTACTTTATATTTATGTGGGTGAAACCAAACTCTAAGGTGTGAAAGATCATCGTCTTATAATTAAACGATATTTATTTTGCATTCTTCTATATGTTTTCCATTTCTGAAAAACCAAATTCAATCAATTCCGATAGGAAATGCCTAATACTTAATTTTTTTTCTTCTTTATCTACGTATCTATAGTAAAAAAAAAAGGTATTTCATTCGAAAATTAACAACTTAAACGCCCCTAGTCTTCTTCTAGTATTTACAATGATATTCAATCCAGCGTAAAAGTCTTTGAGAGAAAAGTGATAGTTGTAAGGCTGGCCCTGAGCCTTGGGCGAAAGTAGAGAATGAGGTCTACATGCTCGTTATTCACACACAAGGAAAATTATCTTTTTTCTTCTGCTTTTTTTGCTTGGGGTTTGAATACAAGAAAAATTCTTGGCTTACAAAATATTTTTTTCCTTTAAACGTAGTCTCTTGCTAACCACTGCCAATAAAAAATATTTTTATATTTAAAACTCCTTTAAACGTAGTCTTTTGCTAACCATTGAAAATAAAAAATATTTTGTAAACCAAGAACTTGTCTTGTATTCAAACTCCAAGAAAATACGTGTGTAGAATATTAGAAAATATATTACATTTTATAACCATAATAAAAAAATTTGACCTTAGACAAAATAAATTTTATTTTTGGTATATCTTCATATATAAGAAAATGATTGAAGACCAAAAAAAAAAAAACCATTAAAGTACTAAAAAGAAGAATCCCAATGCTGGGATTCGAACCATAGCTGTTCACAAGTTTCTAAAGCTCACACACAAAAGCAGATTATTACATATAGGGATATCCAAGCTTATTAAGCCTGGTAATTAGTACTGAAGGAAATTAAGCAAAAATTAATTAAGGCCACCTTATAGTATATAGGGTCTGCACTAGGGTGAGGACCATGAGGATAAAGGCAGCGATGAAAGAGATGATTCTCCATGGGGTAGAAAAATAGTCACGCCTCAATACTTCCACAAACCTGTGTCACTTAGTCTTGTAATAGTAATTCACATCGTCGGAGAGACCGCTGTAGTAATAATCCATGACAGTGGTGTCATCGTAAAGCCTGTTAAAGAATTCGGCAGCATCATCCGGGTGCAACCAATTGGCCAATATTCCTTTGTCACAAAGAAAATCTATATCCTCTCTAGAGTCGATGAGGTTATCCATCAAAACTGCGTAGGATGTTATCATGTGCGGGCGACCATGGTAGCATTGTTTAAAGGCGATGAGGTTCCTGAATAGAGGCCCTGTCCTCTCATCAATTTCCAATGGTGGAATTGTAAAAACCCTGTTTTTGAACTCTACGTTCATTATGCACTCTCCCTTTCCCTTTTCCTTGTTTTGGTTTTTTTCGAACCGAATGCCTGCCTCTGAAAGAGATGTCGCGTTTGGCATCCGATGAGACAAATTTGACCCCTCTTCCTCACTCGACGTCTCCTTGAATTCAGAAAGCATCACGACTCTTACCAGATCAAGTATGTGCAAAATCAATCTTGGGCTATTGAATCTGGGATTCAACATCTGCTCATCCGCCTCTCTTTGGCTGAAAAAGTTGATCACAAGTGAAATGAGGGAGGCGCCACATTGGCTGGGGCTATTAGGAGTATGGTTGTACAAATACTCCAGCACAGACCAAGGTAGCTGATTTTCTAGCAGCAGAAGGTCATGGTACAGATGTCCCCGCATGCAGGACATGTTGAAAACGGGGTCGTTTTCATTTCGGAGCTCAAAGGTAAATGCCTTTCGAAATAGTTCTAACAGGAAGCAACCGTCAAATATCATCATTTCTACAAAGTATTTTTTATTGAGATCACCATCCAACGGGTATGCTACGTAACAGTCTTGGGCGCTTTTAACCAACTCCATGATGCCTTCGATCAAGCTGTCCAAACTCACATTCTCGGTTGAGGAGATAAGGCATGTAAAATACCAATGTTTCACATTTTCAAAGAATTGGAATTTTTCTTTGCCGTGGTGGAAGGGTCCGATGGAGACAATGTTAGGTTCATAGGCCTGTTCGTTATGTCTCCGAATCGCCTCGGGAACTTTGAAGATGCATCACGAATGAAGCGAAAGGTGAATGGACACGAAACTTCGCTTCTATGTTCCTTTTCAATTCTTCAACGTTTATAACAACAGACGTACTCTCACCGTCAACTTTACTGCATTTTCCTTTGTCACCTTCCATGATTGTAGATATATGCTTTGCTTTCAATATCTGAAAATAATTGTCCTAAAATAATTAATACTAAATTATGCTACTTCTCACAAAACATAAAATAGTAATTAATGCTAAATTCTGCTTCTTCTCACAAAAATAAAATAATAATTAATGCTAAATTCTGCTTCTGCTCAGAAAAAAAATTAAATAATAATTAACGCTGATACAAAGTTGAAAATTCGCACCACATGCACAGGGCCCCACTTCTAAGAGGGCATTCAAAATATTATATTATGTATATTAATGTTATTTTATTGAGTTTAGTCCCAATTGAGTTTTTTGTTATTTATTTAAGAATTAAGAAAGAGAATCCAACAAACGAAGGAGAAGTTGTGTCCCATGAAAATAAATATGTTCTTGTTTTGGTTTTTATTTTCAAATTTTTTTAATATGAAAAAATATTAATTTATTATGTGTCAACTCTGAAACCCCTTGGATGAAATGTAAATGAGGGGGCACGTGAAGAGCAAAAGTCAAGCAAATTATGATAGAGAAAATCCAAGAAGAGGATCCGGAATCCCTCTGCTTATAGGTGTATGATGCATACCTAAATAATGGTATGAGAGGATGAGAATATCATTCCTCTGTGCGAAACCACTAGATCAAGGAAGCAAAATGAAGAAGACCCAAATTAATTGAAATCATTCTAAAGAGAAATAAACAGTCAAAAATTACACCAGCTATGATCGCCGTGTAGAAAACCCAAATTCATCGAACAACAAAAGGAACATAACAAATATGTGATACCACCTGCTTCTGCCCCTATGAGAAGCTTTTTTTTAAAAAATTAAAATTTATTTTAGAATTAAAAAAAGATAATGGATAGTTGTGTTCCATAAAAATATGATCCATTATCTAATTTTTCCTTTATTTTTAATTTTTTTAATATGAAAAAGTGTGAAGTTACCATATTATCCTCATTTAATTAATAATTTCAACTCTTAATATTTGCATTAACCAAGGACATTTTTTGGTATTTTGAATGTTTTACTATTATCAGTCTTTTGATATATATATATATATATGAATAATGCT